GTTTGGCAGCCCCAACTGGGCGTATGCCCCAAGAAGGTGCCCCACGAGAGGCACCAGCCATAAACACAGCAAGAGCAGCGAACGAAGTACAACTGTGCCACAAATGTTTTGGGCGTCGTCATCATCGTCATCATCATCACTGGGATCAGGCATCGTAGAGTGGCTGCTGCTGGCTTGAGTGGGTCTGGGGCCTTCTGGCTGTGCGCCTGCGCAAAAGCCTGGCACGTGCGCAGCAACCAAAGCCAAAGACAGAGTCAGCGACTCAGAGCCAACTCCCCAGCTTCATTTCGTTTGGTTTGGTTTGGTTTGGTTTGGTTTCGTTTCATTTCTGGTTTTTTTGAAAAATGACATACAATGGGCTTGGGTTGAGTGCTCCGCACGGCTCAGATTGGTTTGGGCTTTGGGTTGGGTTGCGTTTTGGGGGCATTTGTGCTGGAAAATCAACTTGTTTGTGTTTCTGTGTGTGTTGGAGTCTCAGGTGTTGGTTGCCTGCCACCGTTTGATGACTCTGTTTCGACTCGGTCTCTGTTTTTCTTCTTTTTTTTTTGGGGCCATGCCACTGATTAATTTACGACGCTGGGTCAAACGCAGATGCTGCACAAAGGGTTTAGCTTGTCGCTAATCGGTCAAGGTTTTACCCCCATTGTCTAGCCCAAAAACGAAGTGAAGCCATAAAAAAAAAGCAACTCCCCGACTGCCAATCAAAATGTTCAGCCCGATGCCTGCGGCAAGATTAAGCAGAAGAAAACTTCTGACTGGAGAGTCATGGAAAATTAAAGATTTACGCCACAAATCAGAGATCTCTACAGCCAACACCTGCAACTGTAACTGACTCTGACTCTGGTTAGAAAATTGTGTCTTAATCAAAGCATTAAACCCTTTTGGCACGCTCGCCAATTGGTAGGAACCCAAGCGAAGTTCCTAATGAGATCCGGACAGTAATCAACTGCAATTGCTTATGAAAGTAATGAGACATATAATGAGGCTCATCTTTGGGTATCTGTAATTGATTGGGCTGCCTGGAAAGGCAAATGAACCTGCAGTTAGCAGTCCAGTTCAATCTCTGCAGCTGCTTTATTGTCCCAAACCCAACACTCCAGTGGGAAAGAGTATTAAGCCAGATTATTTGGCTACCCGTGTTGAACATATTGTGGTCCGTCTCCCCATCCTCCCAGCCGACACAATTTATGACCCTTGGAACAGTTTTCAGACACGACGACAGGCAACCATAGACAGAGTCCCCACCGATCCAGAGAGAGTCAGAACCCAGGGCTTGGGCATGACGAGGCCTGAACACGCATAGAGGGAGCTACGCTGCCAGGAGGAACTGGTTACCGGGGACTGGTTACTGGTTACTCGGGAGCCTAGGGAAGTGCTACCCGTCTTACACAGATACACACGGGATACGACTCTCCCGATCTCAGTGCCACAGTCTCCGTCTTCAGTCTCCAGCTCCGTCTACGGCTTGTCAACCACACCTCACCCCACGCCGTACCCACCAGAGAGCAGGGAGGCTGGCGTAACCCATAATTTTAACACCAATAACAAAAAATAAAAATAAAATAGAAAGAGCGAGAGCGAGAGAAACAGCAACACGGCGGGCAAGGTAGATTGCAGGTGTGCATCAGGTCCAAGTCGCAGTAGCTGCGACTTCGTATCGAGATCTCTTACAGATACAGTCGCAGTCTGCATCATAAATTAACGTTTTCAAATTGTGTCTGAACCGAAAACGAAGAAAACCAGTTCTAGCCCAAAGATTATAATAAAGGCTTTTCTCGATTATTACCCACTCGCAAAGTGCATTAGAATCTTAGACATCTCGGAGGGAGTGTGTGAGAACTTAGACTCAAAGTAAATGTAATTCTTATTTACTAGACAACGGACAAAGGGAAGTTGATTGTTAATTTTTTGGGTGTAATAAGTACAGGAAGAAAACAATTGATGGTACTGAAAAAGGGAAGGGAAAAGGTACAGTAACCAGGAACACAAATAATATTTAGTTGAATTTTTCAACTATTTTGCCAAGAGGTTTCCTTGCGCACTAAAACTTCATTTATTTGCATTTATTTTAGCAGTTTTTGGCACACTTTTTGACTCAAAAATACTGACTCCACACTCCTGACCTGATTCATTGTGGGAACAACTCATTTCACATTGACCCAATTTTTTTCTGTTGCAACACTTTAAACTGTAAAATTCTGACAGTTCGGTTAGCTGATTTATAATAAGCAAACAAAAAATAAAAACACACCAAAACGGAGTCATACGCCAGGGCGGACAGTCAGTAAGATTAATTATCGCATTAATTAACTGAGCTGAAAAAACGAAAGTTTTTGCCCATATAAAATTACTCACGAACAGGAAGAGAACGCAGGAAATGTGACGAAATGAAAGTGTTTAAAAATGTGAACTTACATTTCACGAAATTTAAGGTGTTAGCTGAGTTGTAGTGTGCTTTATAAATATATTAAAGAACATAAATTCCTTTCAAAGCCTTTTATGTCCTTTTATAATTATTTTCCAACTATTTTAATTGGAAACTTTTGCCTAAAACAAAACCTATTTCCAATGACTTTTTGAGCCAAAAATACAAAGAATCTTTGTTCAACTTTAATCATGTATCGCCACCGGCCACATGGAACAACATTTGTGGGGGTCATTGGGTTTGTCAGGCAGTTGCCTTTGGCCTTTGTGGCGACAAACAAAACAAATATTTCGAAATTGCAAAAAAAAGGAATCAAAGTATAAATTCCAGCCGCTGGACTGACTCACTGGACAACTATGCGAGGCAATTTCCTTTCTGGTAATCCGTTCCAGGACATCGTAAAACATTCGCAGAGGCCATGTCAGCAGATACATCAATTGGACTTTATGGTCCTGGAACTACTTTAAGGAATAGGACACAGACGCAGACACAGGCCGACAATTAAAAGTTAATGGTCAGGCGACACGGTTGATCAGCAAAGGAAAATTGCATGGCAGGGCAGCACAATGCCCTTGCCAATGCCCGTCGGGGCCCCAAATATTAATCATGTGAGCACTTAATTTGACACTTGGCAATAATGGAAAGCACTGGCTACCGTTTCTGGTTTTTTTTGTTTTTTTTTTGTTGTTTTGGGTGGGGTAGGAGAGCTGGAAGAGGCCCGGCACTAATCACCAACTTCAGAGTGGCCTGTCTGTGACCGTGTCTTATTCTCTTCGCTGGCAGCAACCTGCCACCTGCCTTACGCAATTAACAGACAGATCTCGTCGACACACAACCCACACACACACACACGGCCAACGCACGACACGACAAAAGGTTCGTTTCCCGCTCTCCCACTCTACCGCTCTCTCTCACGCTCTCACTCTGTCGTGTAATTACTCAATGCCCCGCCGAACTGGTTCTCTTGCGAGTATGTTCTGCTGCGTGTGTAAGTCAAGTAGCCGAGGCTCAGCCAGATTACAGAAGACAAAAACGAACAACGACAGGCCATAGGCATAAATAAATCACACAAAGATATTGTGCAAAGCCAGATACCCTTAAGCGTGCTATTTATGTACAAAAATATGTATAATATCACATACATAGGACTTGGCTTTTTAAATATTTTTCAACTAAAACATTGACTTGGAATATTACAGATTGTAAACCCTTTTTAAACCCTCCTTGAGGAAAGTGTACTCCAAAACCGTCGAAAAGACTGTCTGTCAGAGGGTGGGGTTGAGGGTTTACGATAAATATTTATGTGTCATTAGTTGGGATGCCCGTGCAGTAATCAGGTGGAAAGACGGCATTGAGATGCCTTTGCCTCGCTATTACTACTGCACTTCGAAAGGTAATTTATTACAAAAGAAGTGGAAGAAGAACGGGCCCCAAGACGCGGACCCTAACAAAGCTAAAATAAGTTGTCCCAGCCCGGGGGATGCGTGCAATTAAATTGTGTATAAAAAAACGAAATGAAATCAAGTTAAATCGTTAAACATATCCATCCGAGTGCCAGAGAAATATTTAGAATATGAAAAATAAAAGTAATGTAATTCTGCATATAGAAATTCTGATTTATTCTCAGCTAGAATATGACTCTGGAACAGGCTGAAGGGATCACAAAGTTGCTTAGTCTTACTTGCCACCTGCTGCGACCAACGGATTGGCTGCCCTAGAAAACATATGCCAAAACTCGATAACCTCTAAAAGATGCCTAATGGCATTCCTGTTCCCTCAAGTGGCCATTGGTGTGGCACGGACCAACATCGCACCAGACGCGCATCTCATGTGTCACATGCCTAGACCGAGAGAGAATGAGAGAGGGAGAGAGGGAGAGTGTGAGAGGATGACACATGCCAGCGGATTGCACAGTGCGCTCGCTTAGGGCGGCAGATTAACTTAACTGTGCATAAAATGCACGAAAATAACGAACACCCCAGAATACAAACAAAAAAAAAAAAAAACCAAGGGAAAACAGAACCGCTGGAATTCTGTGGCTCTCTGGTGAAAAATTCTCAAGTACCGAATATGCCTGCTGGAGTGGCTGGCTGTCATTTGCTGGATTCTTGGCAGGAATGTGTAAAAAGTCATGCATAAAATTAGTTTCAACTTGGGTGACGATTCCTGCTGTTTCCCCCCGTCCTAATTTATTTTCCACAACTGAATTTTAAACACTTGGGCAACACGTGCGTTCTTGGAATATTTTCCTTCAGTTAAAAAACCATAAAACTATTCCAAATGTTGATGGCATATGACAGGCTCAAGTGGGTGAAATGGGACTCATGAAATTTAACACGGAAATATTAAGAACAAAAATTAAAATAATATTAAGATAAGAATTCAAAGAGTATATTTAATTGTTAAATATTTAATCAACAATTTATTTTCTTTATTTGCACTTACCGCCATGAGCTGCTCTCCACATTTTTACAGCTATGTTTTTGCTAATAAGCTCTGCTCTCTCTCTGCTCTTAATATCATATTCATCGCATGGAACTGCATTGCTACAAAATAAGAGAGAGAGCGAGCGAGCTTGACGCTCGTTGAGTCTCTCTTTGCAGAACTCTCTCTTCTCGCTGGAAACCGCACGGGTGGCAAAGCACAAAGTTTAGTTCGGGCTGCGCTCTCTTCTGGAAAGTCGTGCGTTTATTGCGTCGTCCTGGAAAAAAGGGAAGTTCAACGTAGCATTATCGATTTGCCTTTGCATGTGCTCGAGATGGTGTTCCAGTTGCTTAATCACAGCGACAAATTGCATTTGGCCCAATCTGATCGTGTGCTTGCCGAGGCATATGCCTCTCACACTCGACGTATATACAAACGAATGCATTTATCGTACGAAAACGAACGTCGTATCCCATGGGCAGACGTTTTGGCCATATGTGGCGCCAGTGTGGTCGAAATAGTCAACAGGCATGCTCTGGCCGATTATCAACTGAAAATCATAGAGCTGCATTGTCCCAATCTTCAAGTCGTGAACTTTGAGATAAAGGATGCAAATTGCGCTGGCCTCAAGTCGCTGCTTGAAAGCCTCAAAGAGCAGACAACCGTTAGGCTGCGGATTGGCGTCAGAGCCACACCAAAATCTACAACATGTTGTAGAAATGCTCAGGGGCTGCAAGAAGCTCCGTTTCCTTGTCATAGAGCTCAAAAATTTGCAGATCACTAAGGAACTTCTAGCCACCATAACGGGCATTTTGAAGGAAAATGGTGTGACACCGGACAAGCCTTTGCAGTTCAAAGTGAACGTCCAGAAGAAAGTGAAGAATGTCAAGCTCAAACATCTGGTGAGTATTTCGCGAATACTTTTTGGGACGCACTTAAACACTATTTTATTTTATTCCAACTATTTGCAGATGGCTGAGACCCCAAATGCAGTTAATCAAATTAACAATTAATAACTAAAAACTAATTATTTTCCACTTGTATTTCATTTATTTAACCATAAACATTTGAGCTGCAATAAATATTATATGCATTATTCGAAACTATTTTCTATGTCTAAAACCCCAAGATGTGTTCATGTTGTCAATGTCTACATAAAGACAGAACCAGCCTGACTTGAACACTCAAAAGAAACTGACTACCCCGTCTACATGCCAAATGGCCGGAAGCTAGCCAAGCCAAGACAATGCTCGGAGTTCACACAAAACAAAATCTTGAACCCCCCTCGCAGCTATCGATATTTGTACAATTTGTTAAGCAATTTCATTCTCACACATTTGCTGATTTTTCCACATTTTCTTAAACAAACAATACGAAAAAAAAGTTCTGCTAGGTGCGGCGGAGTGGATCGCTTCTTGAAGAACTGCTTCGATATGGTGGGGAACCCTCCCACGCAGAAGTGCTCAGAATGGCGTGAAAACGCTTGTACTTTGGTGGGTAAGTTCTCTTAACATTTAACAATCGACTGCACAACGGGCCAGGGTACACAGAGTTAAAGAAAAAGGTAAGAAAGACACTTCAAACAAATTAATTTGCTCATTGTCATGGCTGAATGATTCAAGGTTCTTTATTTATGTTCTGTCTTCTTTTTTTTGGGTGTGCTTAACCGCAGAGTTTTTGACTTTGTGCAAAAGATGGATATAAAATGAGAATTTTTGATGTCTTTAACGCTCTCCCCATGGGCTCCTTCTGTGTGTCTTCTTTCGTCTTGCTCGATTGCACCACTGGGTTAGGCTTCAGTGGTCAACCAACTTGAGGGCAACTTGTACTTTGGTCACCATTTAGATCACTTAATAGTTGATGTCTGCTCTGGTGCAGTGCGTGGGAATTTTTATAGAGTTCTTCACTGTCTTGTTTATTAATTAAAAAACTCACTCGTTCGTAACTAAAAAATCATTATGCACAAAATCGAAATTGGTGAGCATTAATTTTTGAGATTTTAATGATGTTCTTACAGTAAAAGCAGAATACAGAATAAATATTGATCGAGAGATCCTTTAGTATCATTCAAATTTCGGGCTTTGTTTGTCATGTAGGGCAAACCGCAAGGGATGTACAAGTACTCTACTCGATTTAGGCCAACTTTCCCTTTTTTTCGGTGTTGTTAATCGCACGACCGCAGAATGCATGAAATGCATGGATGGCACTCCCTTTTGGTATTCGGAAAGGAACGCTTCTAGGGATCATTAAGCAATACATAATCCAATTAGCACACAGATTGTATGTGTATGTGTATGTGTATGTGTTTGTGTGTGGATCCTCCACCTGTTAGGGGCACACAAAACAAAAAAGGGATGTGGAGGATTTTTCATATTTTTGTTGAGCCAAACGAACCAGAAACATTTTCGATGGCATCGATGAACCTGCTAAGAACTTATACAAACAAGTGATCACGATCTGTGTCCATTGTGCAGTAGGACGGGACAGGGGAAGATCAACAACATTTTACTTTTACTCTCAATTGTTGTTGCTGATTGATGCCAAGGCAGCAAAAAAAAAAGAGGACGACGGACCTTTTCTGATATCTGATCTGATCTTTTTTCGTGGATGAAAGAAAATGCCAATTTTACTTAGAAAATGACACGCAAATGGCAAAAGATAAAAACAACAGCAACAACAAAAATCACTGAACATAAGGGAATGAGAAAAAGGTTTCGTTTCCCTCGACTGGGGATAATCCCCTCTCATCAATATGTCTGCAATTAAGTTGGGCACGAATTCGTTATTAGGGGTCAGGGCAATTGATAGCAATGCTCGGTGATCGTTGCACGGATCCTTCGCATAAAAATTGCGTGAGGCACAAAAGCAAATCTCGGGCACGATCATTACATGGTCCAGGATAACCTGTCCCCGAATCTGTGTGTGAGTGTGTCGAGGGGCGTTGCAACCTATGCAGATTTGTGTGGAGTTGGAGTGATCTCCATTTGTTTACACTGAACAAAAATGCGAAACGATCATCCAAACGATCTGCAGCTGCTGTCGAAACGCATTAGGTTATTCAATTCAATATTCGCAAAGTGTAAGCCTGCATAGATTCTGATACGTCTGATACAGTACACATCAACGATCGTGTGGAGCGCTGAAGGGCGTACCCTGGCTTAAATCCTTAGCTGTCATTGTCATTGTCAGAGGACGGAGCCTGACAGTTGCACGATTGTAATTGGCAGTAGGCGCGAAAGCAGAACGCATGCAAAATAGAGGCGTGTGAAAATGATATACCCCCTGACGATCGGCTATGATAACCCTTTCCTTCAGACGCACCCACTCTATCGAACGTGAGAAATTCATGGGGGCCTTTTGCCAAAGTGAATCGGGGTTGCGTCTAGCTCTAGGGTGATCAATGCTGCGTAAAATTGGATTAGTTCGGGCTCGCACACATACACAGGTTGCCCAAGTGGGGCCAGCAATTGGCATAATTGACTGGTCGGTCGCCCTGGCTGTCTATCTGTCCGTCTGTATAACTTTTCGGTTAACATATTGTGTTACTTTTCATCATTAATAACAATCACAAGAGACCAGAAACAAATGTGGTGCCCACAAGCCGCTCGGGAGTGACACTGAGCTTGTACCGCGAGGAGGCGACACTCTGGATGCTAAATTTCAAGCGGAATGGGGCAGCTGGCCAAGACGGCCAGGAAAATCCTTAGATTTGTTAATCGATTTAAGAAGTGAAATGTTCCAGTAAAACACTGATTTCATTTCGACACATCTCTGTGTAAACATCCAATTAATTAATTAATTCAAAAATTGTATACCAATAGGTAGATATTTTGTGCACAATAAGAGACAATAAGAGAACGCAGCAACCGCAAAGTCCCGTTGGTTGTTGCTTCTGCTTCTCGAAAGTGTTTAGCATTTTGCTGAGAGCATAGCTAGAGAGCGAGCGAGAGTGCAGCTTTGTTGTTGTTGTTGCTGCTGAGAGAGCAATAGAACAAAGGATAGAAGGAGAATTGCGAGAAGGTTTATTTTTGCATGCGAGAGAGAAGTGAAGCTAGCAAATGAAGAGAACAGAAAATCGGATGCAAAATATTTTAATAGTAAATAATATGAATATAAAATGTAAATAATAATACTTAACAAATGTTTATGAGATTAGTAACAACTATATTAAGTATGAATATTCCGTATCTACATTTGAAGATCTGTTTTATATTTATTATGAATATTTAATCAGCTTTTATAATTTGTAATCTATATTTCGATGGATTTCCATTTAGAAAATATTAATTAAAATCAAAAGCCTATGCATTCAAATGGGTTTTGTATGATTTTCTTCAAGTAGAAAAATATTTCTAAAAACTTATTGCGTTATAATTTAACCATTGACATACTTCAAAATGGACCGCTCAAGTGGATATGCAGCTCGTAGATTTGTTACACGGGTTCTTCGTACTGAGAAGTTAATTAATGTTTGTATAAATATTTTAATAATGATAACTCGCAATTCGCTTACTCTTATCAGTTACATTCACTTCTATTAGTTTCCGCATTTGCGATTGTGTGTATTTTTGCATCTATAATAAAAAATTGTTTTAAAATATTGAAAATTATCATTTCCGATCAATAAACATACCAATAATCGCATCCCATCTTCCGAATTACGTTCATTAACTTCCCAAACAAGACGCCTTTGTTCGTTGAAACCATTTTCCCTCAAAATGTTATCAAAGGAATTCAGAGAATCGGAAAACACAGTGTTAATTACGGAAAGTTTTGTATGAATCAACTGCAACTTTTTACATTTGCTGATAATTTCAAGTAAATCTTTTGGAAGATAACTGATTGAGTATAGATATAAACGCTCCAGGGTATTGGCGTATTTTGAAACAATTTGAACGATATTGAGAGTTTCTGTGCTCGCAAATTTTAACGATTTGAGCTTTGGACATGTTGGCATTACCGACAGACTAATTCTGCAATGCACTAACTCAAGTTCTTCCAATTCCGGTAATAAAAAATCTAGTTTCTGGCACAATGAAACGCTATTGTACATAACCACCAAGCTGCGAAGTTTTTTTAAGTGTGAGGCTATTTCAAAAATATTTAATAAATTTTTTCTCTCAGGCCAAATGAGGTACAGTTTTTCCAAGTTTTTCAATCTTCGAATGTGTTGTGCTGAAAGCAGTATAAACCAATATATTCAAAAAATAGATTCATTTTGATTAATTTTAAGTCCATACCCTGTCCATTCCTTATGTGAAATACTTTCAACTCCTTACAATCTGTATTAATGCATTCGATTATATGATTACACCTAAATTTATTAAAATATTCAATTTTTCTTAGGCTTTTAATGCCTATAAATGCCTTGAACTCCTTCAAATGATCAGTTGGAATCTCCGAACTGGTAGATTTCAAGTTGGTGCAGTGCTTTAATATTAGCTCCACAATTGGCTTCTCGAATGTGTTTTCAGTCGTTTTCATGTGGACCACACTCGCTCCGCAAAGCGGCAGAAAAACTCTCAATATATCATTTGTAAAAACATAGCAGTCCAAATGTGTACAAAACAATTTACTATGGTAGGAAAATGCCTGGCCAAGGATTTCGTTGACTTGAGCCAGTTGAAGTTTATCTTTTAAACTCAAACATCCATAAATCTTATCTAGAATCTCAATCGGTAAATTGGAAAGCATTTTAATAGCGACACTTAAACCGGAAACGGAAACAGCACAGATGTATGTAAATAATTATCAGAGATGGTAATATGCAGAGTCCCTCGATATATTGTACAGATTAATTATGTATGTCTATCGATGTTTACCGAGGTTTTTATACCCGGTACTCGAAGAGTAAATAGGGTATATTGTATTTGTGGGGAATAACGGTTGTATGTAACGCACAGAAGGAAGCGTTTCCGACCCCATAAAGTATATATATTCTTGATCAGCATCAACAGCCGAGTCGATTGAGCCATATCTGTATGTCCGTCCGTCTGTCCTGATGAGCGCCTAGTACTCAGAGACTATAAGAGTTAGAGCCACCAAATTTTGCATCCAGACTTCTGTACGCTCACACTGTTACAAGTGTATTTAAAAAGGCGGCGGGGCTCATGTCTTCCGCCTCCGCAAAAGGGCGAAAACCTCCCAAATCTACAATTGGGAAGATAAAAGAAAACTAAAAACGCCATTCCGTAGGAAATGACCATATCTATCAGACACCAAATTGGGATCCGATTGGTTCATTATTATAGCCACAATGAAGCAATTAATTTTCAGTGGCTAAACATTCACACTCTGCTTCTTCATTGTGGGGTTCTAGGGAAGGGGGGCGAGCTAAAGGAGCGTGTTGGCGTGAGATGTTATGTAGATGTTGATAAAATATGTAGAAAAAATGTAAAATGTACAATTTGAAAAAAACCCGTTAAGGTACAGATGATCTACTGAGTACCGGGTATAAAAGTTTTGATGCGTAAGAAGCGTTGCACACGTCCCTTCTCGTTTTTGTAGGTATTGTATTTTATTTTGATGCTGCAAAATAGAAACCCGCAACCCGTTGAACATTGTGAATCTGCCGCTGAAGCAGCTGAGCTCAATATATAAATTTATTGTGGACACGAAAGATAAACAAAGTCTGGCACAAACTCATCCAGTACTTCGTGAGGCATATATTTCAGTAATGCCAATCAAACATTTGCCCCAACTGCAGAATTTATTCATCAAGAATGACTGCGCGGTGAACCTGTGCGAACTGTGCTCGCAATTCTGAGCTTACAGCAGTGCAAATGGAGTTTGTTTTCAAATGTAGATATTCCCCTAGCAAAATGGGAGCCGCTGTGCCCCAAGCTGAAGCTTCTGAGCATCGGTATCGAAGATTTTCGAACCGAAATGCCGTACTTGCCGAGTCTGGAAACACTGCACGTTACATTCAGCCCCGATATGGAATTATGCGAGCTATTTGGCAGATCGATTTCGGACTATGCCAAGAGATGCCAGCGATGAGATAACCAAGACCATCGGACAACTAAAATCACTAAAAAGTCTGATCTGCTCCGATATGAATAATACATATTTGCAATTCATCAAGTTGGATCAACTGCAGATGGTGATCCTCCAGTCATCCAATAACGTAACCAACTCCGGAATCCTACGCATGCTCCGTGGCTGCAAGAACCTCCGATCGCTCGATGTCTCTGGCTGTAGGAGAGTCAACAAGAATGTTGTGGCTCCACTCTTAAAGATTCTAAAGCAGCAGCTTTGACGTTCAGCCGGATGATCCACTGGTTCTGAATGTTCGCTTTATGTCTTTCGGATCCGAATAACAATTTATTGCTCATCCAGAAAAGCAATATTATTATATGTGAGCGTCCCTATGTCCGGTGAAATGGACTTTTTAAGACTGATTGACTAACGAATGAACAAATGATGATTCGGTTTAATTTAATAAAATATGTTTATTCAAACGATTTCCCATTAAGGCAGTCTGCAATTAAAAATAATCATAATTTAAGATACTTTTAGCAATAATTAGACACAAGTACATACTTGTTATTTAGTTGTTTAAGCTCTCAATCGTTATTGTTGGTAGCTGGTTGAAGTGTTATTTCAATGCCATTATTAAAGGGGTCTGGAGACACATGGCAACGGTGTAAAAATACAGCCAGCAGCGTAGGATGCGACTCCGCCAACGTTAATTGATCCGCCAGACATAGTCTACCAAAGATAACGTTTAAAGTTTCAAATGGCAATTGGAGTAAATTTGTGACGTCCATTTTGCTTGCACAAGCTTACGATGGGAATCAAAATTCGGACTATCGACTGGTGTGACCAGAATGTTTATAGGTCAAGGTAACAAATCCATGTCTCACTTTTTCAATACAACATTTTGCAGCTTGTGTCAAGTTTTTAAATGTGATTTTGGAACACATAATTCAATGAAATATTGTTGCAGTGTAAACGAAAGAAAGAACTCAAGCAGCGTCAAAAACAGAGGCTCAGGCAAAATGGAATCTGTAACGTTGCAAAACGACGGTAGAAGGCGGCTGTAGTGGGGGGGGGGGGCAGTAAACTCTGGAGCGATCATGCAGATGAAGAGAAAATGACGAAGGTAAGCAAAGAATTGTTACTCCTCAAAAAAAAAAAACCGAACAAAAACCAACAGCAGCAGAAGGACAGAGTGAGACAGAGAGAGAGAGAGAGAGAGAGAGAGAGCGAGTCAAGGGAGATGGAAAAGATAAACCAAGCGCAGTTTCGGCGCGCCGAACCAACGCTGCCCAGACGCGCCAGACAGGCTGGCGACGCTTGTGAAATTCTCTTTCCTCCACTGGTACGCACACACACACACATACTAATAAGCAGAGTAAACACACAGACGCACGGGAATGAAGAAGTACCACAGAATAGGACCATAAATGCATTTTCAACAAAAGACAGACCCCAGAAGAGCCAATGAACCTAAAGAGCAAAAAATAAAACACAAAAAAGAAAAAGAAAAGAGAGAATAAGAAGAAGATGAAGATGAAAAAACGGAATATAAAGAACCAAAGCCCCAAACCAAAGGCCATAAATAAGCCGACGTCGTCGTCGGCGTCAGCGTCGAAGCCGATGCGCATGCGCCGCAGCATTCGGCTGCACTTCAACTTGAGCCATGAGAGCATGCCTCTCTCTCTCTCTCTCGCTCTCTCTTTACTTAACGTCTTGCTTTCACGCGAGGGCCCATCTTAGATGGAGTGAGCAGCAAACAGTAGGCACAGCTCTTACACGGAGACACTGACTTTTTGGGCACTTTTTGTCTGGTTAATGTTCAGGCTGTACACACTGTGTATTTTAGCGGAGAAATAGTTACAGCCTTATTATAGTCATAGGTACTATCAATAACTCTTAAAAAGCAAATTTTTGGTGTACATTTTTCATGTGCATTGCGGAACGTTGGAACTTTTGGAACAGTCTATGTTTTTATTATTATTTAAAAATTATGATTATATTTTTTGGTGCTTTGACTTGCAATTTAATGACCCAAGCGATAACAAGCCGCCAGCCAGCACGAAGCCAGCAAAAGCCTACCGAGGGGCGGTGCTGCATGACGCGTGAAAGTTGCAAACATTTAGCCGAATTGTGTACATTTAATTCTTAACTCTAGTGACCCCTATGTACCCCTTTTGTTAAGAGAGCATTTCCAATTCGTTGCTCAACGGCAAGTCCAGAAATTCTCACCGCTGATTGTTGGCTGTCTGGCCAGTCGATTTATGCCTCAGGAATTTCTTGAGATCTTGAGATCTTGCCACCATTTTCTAGTGCAATTTTTCACCAATGATGACTAATGCACTTGTTGGCCGTTGGTTTCGTGTGTGATTCACGCATTTGGGCTGAAAGAGGTGCGAAATTTGAAACGCAGGTGGGCCCAGCGACTCAAAGCAACACAATTTGTTGCAGCTGTCCATGTAAATAGTTTGTTTCTTTCCCCCTCCCTAGCTTTTCCATTATTTGTGTACTTTTATGGGCCATAGATCTTTGTGGAATGTGGAATTTGTACAGACATTTTCGTGGGGTGACTTATCAGCGAGACTTATCGCTTGACTTTCGCCTCGAATTACAATCAAAATCCAATTATAAGTTATCAGTAAAAGTTCCAAAGGCCCAGCCAAAGTTCAAATCAGAGGAAATGTTTATTTTTTTGTGGGGACCAGAAGTCACTTAAGTGTCTGGTGTATGTGGCTTTCCCGAGTTTTCCAGCTTGAGGCGCAGTTTCAGCTGTTAATTTGAAAATTAGATAATTGAAGCCCGCCAGAAACTCAAGATGAACACCAAACGCTTGACCCAATTCGAGGCCAGAAGAGCCCGAGAGCAACAAAACCCGCATATAAAAACTGAAAAACTTCAAGATTAAGAGCCATTCGGTGGGGCTTCGATGATGGATCAAGTGCAGGGAAAAACTGGTAGGCAAGATGGAGATTTAGTTTATTTTTTATACTGTTTTTCCTTAGATTCACAAATCTAGTTACTTATTTAATTAAATATCTAATCCAATATTTTCTCAACTACATTTTTATCTTCGATCCTTTAGCTCAATTATCTACACATGAAAAACACTTTTTAGCTTATCCCAAATAAGCCACTGAAAATTTCCACTGGCTGCTTGAAACAAATAACCAAACAAATTATACAGCAGCAACAAGTGGAACTTTTGCATAACAATTTAATTAAAGTGCAGCCACGAAAGACAACAAAAACCAGCCAGAAAAAAAGGTGGAAAAGCTGCGAAAACTTAAAGCGCAAAATTCAAATCATATAGAGGCCCAGGACCGGGCCAGAAACAACCGAAAGTTGGTTTATTAAACAAATCAACTATAATTAAGCGTAATGTATGAGTTAGTAGCAACTAACAAAAAAAGGAAAAAACAAATCTTAAGCTAGGGGAATACTCTTATTTTTGATACAAATATTCGAATTATTCGGGGCATAAAATAAACAAAAAAGTAAGCTTAAAGTAAAAATTTCTTCTGTTGAAATTTGCCACAAAATGTCAGGGCATTGCCAAGTCAATAAACCTTTTTTCGCTTTATGTTGAAACATTTGAGCGAGTCGATATGATACCATGGGGAGTTGTGCCCAGATGTAACACGCATTGTCTTTGGCCGCCAGTCTGTCTAAGACCAGTAGGCCAACCCGTCCCAGCCCCAACCAGACTCCAAAGCAGTTGACTTTTTGGCGTAGCAGCAGCAGGCAGCAGGCAGCAAGGTATGTTGCAAGCAGATCCTCGCCATAATTGGAAGCAGTCGCGCGGAACTTGTTGAGCCAAGCAGCCAACAGCAGCAACAAATTATAACTAGCCAGATCCAGAGAGCGCTGTCCATGCTCCTCTCTCTCTCTATTGACCCAGTCGATCAGTCAGTTAGTAAGTCAAGTTGCTGGGAATGTAAATATGGCAAGGGGACGGCACGGGACTCGATCGACTGTACTGACGGGGAGCAGTGCTCACTTTTACTTTTGCGCGAACGCCGATTGTGTGGCCACTTTTGGTTTTCTTGTTAATGTGACAAGTTGCCCATTCGCTTGGCATTCCCATAGTACCGCTCCCCTGCTCCCCTGCTCGCTGTGGTTCTTGTTGGCCTGACCAATTGACACCTGGATGTTAAATGATCCGCTGGAGCTGCTGCAGCAAAACGTTTGGGGCTTAATGCTTAAATCATGTCTGCGCAAATTATCTCCGCAGTTAAATGATCAAATTCAACCCACACGAAGAACTCTTTTTTGGCTTCTCCACCTAAAAAGGCTAACTGCAAATTGTGCGACAAAATGTTTATGGGAGAAGCTGAAACAAAGAAGCCAACTTTATGCGTTCCTCTGAGATTCGTTTACAAATTCGCAAATCGATCTCATTTTCGTTTCCCTTTGCAGTCCCTTAGAGCGGAATGTTTGCTGATCGCAGCGATAACTTTTTCGTTTGCAATCACAAAATCTGCAGCCTTAACAACTGATTTCCTTCCCGATGCAAGCTGCCCCTGACCCTTATCTTTGATCAGTTTCTGCCCATATTTATGTGTGTTGCGCCCTCGTTGTATGATGCTCCTAATCCGGTTTAGTTTTCCCCTCACTCATTAGCCCATGGGGTCACACTTGAGTGGTTGATATTTTGTTGTGTGTGTTGGCAGGTGTTCCGCATCGCCCAATGAATCATAACTTTAGCGGGCAATGCTCTATATGGTAGCCGATAGCTCGTAAAATATTCTGTAGCGTCCAAAGAGAATCATTTTATGGAGATATTAAAACTGACAAAAGGAACAGAGAGGCAGCCAAAAAGGGAGCTGCGAATCCAACCGAAGAGGTGACAATCGTACGATGAGGATCGTTAAACTGAGGACAGCGTGTGATAAATGCACTGGCAAAGGCAAATGGAAAGACCGGGAAATTAACATGAAATGAGTGAGACGAAGACACGTTGCCAGTCACCCCATAATTGTCGAAACCCCGGGCACTCTAGTTCTAGTTCCAGTTCCAGTTGCAGTTGCAGTTGCACTCACACTTGTGCCCAGCACACTCTGCAAGTGTGTCGCTGGTAGCCTATCGATGGGGAGTTCACTGTGCTCCGAGCTCACATGATCCCTTTTTCTTTCCCCCGAGTGTCTTTGTTTTTATAGTGTGAGATAAGCAAAACCCAAAAGAGGGAACACACAAGACCCTTAGGCGCACTTTTCTCAGTGTTTTTCCGTGGTCTCGCAGGTCTGTTTTAGATATTTTTTTTTTTCTGTTTGCTTGTTGGCGTAGTACTTGGACCCTTTTTGCTGGTCTGCTCCGGCCTTAGTCCCTGCCCTGATGGACCGACTGACTGACAAGTTTCACCTGTCTGTATTTGTCCATGGGGTGATCTATCATGGACCGCAACGGACAGAACACTGGCCCTGGTCCAGTGGTTGGGGGTTGTCCTCTTACTTCTTCTTCTGAGGGGTTGACGTTTCTATTGCTTTGGAGAACATTTGTTTGACTAGATAATGGGCCAGACAGACACACACAAGCGGTGTATAGGTAATCCAATAGGGTTACCCAAACATTCGACTAGTAGGTGTGTCTTGACCTCTGGCCAGACTTGGTAAACTGATATGCCACAGGCGCGGCGGCAGCCCCATAACCCCAATCCTCTTTCACCCAGGCATTGAAAGTGAAATCTTCTCGAGAATCGTGCATGATCGTACATGCCTGAGAGAGCTTAGAGGAACGTGCAAACTGCGTGCAAAGCAACTTGACATGGCGATAATGATTGACCCAAAAAAGAAAGGCAGCAGCAGCAGCAGCAGCAGCAACCCGAAAAGTGAATGTCATTAGAAGCATTTCGAGGCAACTTTACAGATAAAAAACAAAACAAAACAAAAGACAAAGTAAGGCACACTCTTCGGGTAGAGCAAAGCTGCAACAG